AATTTTTTTTTTTATGTTTTTTTTTTCTTTAAATGGCGATGACTAATCGTTTAATTATCTTTATCATAAGAGCCCTTCCAATATCATGTTGTTGTGGTTGACTCCCTGGGGACATAAGCTCATTACCCGCTGGGAATGTTATTTCAACATTTATGGAACCTCAATGGAGTTAGGATCTGTATGAAAGCGATCCTCGCAGTAATGAACACTACTTAATGTAATAGTGGAAACAAGTCCTGAAATATAAAAAAATTAGGTCTGTACGGGATTTGAACCCATGACCCCTGCGATACTGGTGCAGTGCTTTACCAACTGAGCTAACAAGCCAACTGGGAGCAGGTCATTATGGTGGAGTTAGGATCTCTTCATACGAGTTAGGTTGGCCCGCTCTGGAGAAAAATTCGACGCGCGAAAAATGGAGAGCAGAACAAATACGCCATGCGCACACTTCCGTACCATTTTTCGCGCGTCTGTCTTCTCCCTCGTCCCCATCAACCGTTTTGTTCCAAAGCGTGACCGATATGTTATTTCTCAATCAAAATCAAGCTTTATTAACGGTATCACTTCATCAAAAATTAAATATGCTCTTCCAGTGGGCCGTTTACATAACAAAAATTTTCAAAGAAACTACATTAATGCTAAAATATTTCTATATATTAAGAAAATCTATCCTATAATTAATTACAGAAGAATCAATCAACCTTAAAGGTACATAAGATAACTAAAGTAAATTCAATCTCAACTCCCTCAAGGCAATCCATGGTTCAAGAAGACAGGGCAGACTTGAAAGAGTTAAGTTTTATTTCGTCTTTAAGCACATTTTCTAGGCCATTCCACATGACTGCTTCCCTATAGCTAAATAAAAGCCCGCTTAGCAGATTCAGTACGGAGCCTTGGTACAAAAATGTTGTTCGAGGCACCTCTCCTCACAATATCAACAGGTTGACAAGCAGATGGGTAATGAAAAGAAAGCAAAACATCTACCAGCGAACACTGTGTGACTTATCATTACAGTTTCAAAGTTAAAATTATTAGAAATATGTGGCCGGGATGGTAACGAGAGATTGTTTTCATATCATGCAAATGGAGGGATAACTGAGAGCCTACAGGGGCTAGAGCCCAGTCGACAAGGCTGAAGCGCTCGGTTTTTAATATTTCGCCTCAGGTGGCTTACATTTCTGGCCTTCTTTTGAAGGAGGTTTGATCTAAGAGAACACAAAATGGCGAGTCTGTTTGGTAACTAGGATCTCACATGCGTGGCGAGCAATGTGGAACATGGACTGCGCCTTGTTCATACTGGGAACAAGGTGAATTTTGTTAGAGAAGAATGGTCAGGTCGGTTAGCAAAATCTGCTGAAATCTCACCGGATTCTTTCATTTCTACTTTCTGAGACTGATGCAAAATTCATCATTCGTTATAAGAACAGAAGGGTTAAGTAGGAAATCCTCTCAAGTTAACAGTATAAGTGAAATCAGGCCTCAAAATGATCATGCAAGAAGGGTCATAGCTAGGCTAAATTGCTTTATAAACAATACCAGTTTAACTGAATACAGCTGTTTCCGACAACCTTTCTCGAAACTTAACAGCTGTTTATTGTAACTTGAACTGTAGCTGCATAAATGTGAACGATGGTACTCGCGAGGGCCTTGGATTGCCTTGAGGGAGTTGAGATTGAATTTACTTTAGCTATTTAATGTACCTTTAAGGTTGATTGATTCTTCTGTAATTAATTATAGGATAGATTTTCTTAATATATAGAAATATTTTAACATTAATGTAGTTTCTTTGAAAATTTTTGTTATGTAAACGGCTCACTGGGAAAAGCATTTTAATATGTAATAAAGTGATACCGTTAGCAAAGCTTGATTGATTGATTTGATTGATCGATTGTCCTTGAGTTACGCCGACTGTTTAAAGAATTCGGAAATTTTTAATCGATTATAAAAAAATTATTCTGAGATCGCTCAAGTTTCAAGTTTTCTTTAAAGCTGCGCACTGTGACTACCCTTAAAATGCTCGCGCCAGATGCACAACTAAAACTGATCGCGACTTGTCCAACAGAGTTTACCCGCACCTCAGGGATTTTGCTTTGCTTTTTTATACTTTGAATCCTTTTGATAATAGTTTCCTTTCTTAGATTGGCCGTTGTGATCAATCAATCAATCGACAACTTTATTTAAGTGTCTAATCTTCTAGCTTGCCCTTAGGCCTACTAATCGGGGACACTACTTAAATTACTTATTAATGATAAATATATTTTAATAATACCATAAGATAATAAGATTGAACTATTCAAAACTTCTTCAAATATATACAATAGTCGGCAATATACTTAAAAATACACATATGCAGTAAAAACTATGTATACAATTTACAATCAATCAACTCTACAAGTTATAATATTTTCTGTTTATGAATTATGAGTTACACAGGTGGCACCTTTTGCATGCGTTTTCACTAACCAATTCGCTCAGATCTTTTTTCCTTATATTTGCTTTGAACTTTCTTAAGGAGGTCTCATTTCTGTTGTTCATGCTCAATTTTGACCATAAAAATGGCCCAAAAAATCTGAGGGAATGCTTTCCGTATTTGACAGTTTTTACCCTTTGAACGTGAAAGTCCGAGTTCCTCAAGTTGTAGTTCGAAGGCGATGGCGAGAAGAGTTCTAGTATATTGTAAGGCAGTAATCTATTCCTGATTTTGAACATAAAGATGGCGATATCTTGTAATCTCATGTTATATAGACTAGTCATTCCAGTGTGTGTAAGAAGGTCACTAGAAGGACAGAGTCCATCTTTGAAGACTGTACGTAGACCTCTTTCATTAATTCTCTCTAGTTTGTTTCTGTCACTTGCACGACAAAAGTGCCACACCATGCTACAGTATATGAGATGGGGTAGATCTGCAGTTTTATATATTGGTAGTTTTGCGTTCATCGGGATTAGAATCTTTTGCCTTTGAAGAACACCAATCATTTTACTGGTCTTTATGCAGACCTCTGATAAATGCTGCGAGAAACTCAAGTCTTTATCCGCAATAATTACGCCTAACAGTTTGAATGCATCGGTTAAGTTGATTCTGCAATCATCAATCACTAACTCCGTTTGTTGCGTGTCCCTTGCTATAGCCATTGCTTGGTATTTGTTATAAATGTAATTTCTGACGTTTGAGTGACATGGGAACGAATTAGTCAGAAATTAATATTCTGACGGCACGTTGAAGAGGTTCGCGTGGTATCACGGTAGTTTCGGATTATTTAAGCGTTTCGCGGTAATTTAACTCATTCTAGATCGGTCAGTCTTAGGTTTGGCCACTTTCTTTTTTCTTATTTAATGTAATTTTGTTTTACAACTCTCTGTAAAATATCACTGCTTTCATTGAATTTTCTGTGTGATTAGTAGTGTATTTAGGTTTATTTTAATTTACCCTTTCCTCGGGGTACAGTGCTGCTGCATTAGATGAGGAATACGTTTCCACAATTTTTTGGCCACTTCTAAAGAGTGGTTTTTTAGTGGTTATTCGTATCTGGCGTAGCACAGGCTATTTTGTATAACCCTTTAGTTTCAGTAAATACTTCCAGTACATTGTAGATTCTAGTAGGATGCGTATACTACAAGGCTTGCTGACTCATCCTAAATAAACTTTCACGTTGAATATCTCGCCTGTGTATGGTCAGAATTTATAAATTTAGAACATTCCGTCGAGTAGCGCGGATCTGTGAGCCTTACAATTTGTCGTCTAACCCTCTTGACTGCGCCGTCTAGTTACGCGCAATCATTTTGTGTTTATTTTTCTGTCCTATAAAAAATGGGAATTAAAATGTCATCAGGAAGAAAGTGCTTCAGCCTATCAAGGTGACTCATCCGATCCACTGGAGTTGTCTTGCCTTGTCCCCCTCTTCTCTCCCCCCCCCCTCCCCCCACAACCTTCGGGTAAGATCTGAGCCCACACCCACCGCACGAAAGTGGTTAATTACACAGGGTACCGTCACCAATTTTATAAAGCTTTTGAGAAACCCGTTCTCTGATAGAGCGCAATTCGCTTGAGTCTCGTGGAGTCTCTAACCAAAGGCTTTATAGGGCCAACTAAATCAAAGGGAACAATCACGAGGGGCCGATAAAAGCCAAAGTTAACAAAAGAAGCCGACTGCCCGAAGCGCGTGAAAACGTGCGTGACCCAGTTACGATTTGATCAAATTTATCATTTGATTGGCTGAAAATAGCGCGAGTTCTTTGGTCCAATCACATGGCGCAAAAAAGCACATCTGATACAACCGAGGATCAATTTCTACAGTCAATCAAACATTTCTCCAAGGTATCCTTGCCACCTTGCCTACGGTTACTGTAGCATTGAATCAGGACTGGTTCGTGAAAATCCAATTTAAGGCTAAAAAAAAGTTTAAATATCGTCCCAGGCGAAAACAGCTGGAAATTAACAAATCGTAAACACCACAGCGTACACTATTGAGTTATGGATGCACGCGGGAGGTTGCTAAGCACGAAAGAAGCGTAAGAGTCGCTCGAGGCGATAGCCGAGAGCGACTCTAGCTTCTTGAGTGCTTAGCAAACCTCCCAAGTGCATCCATAACTCAATAGTGTACGCTGTGGTGTTTACCATTTGTTTTATAACATAACATTGATACATTGTAGCTAAAGAGTTCCCTTTTATTTAACAAATCTTACGCGACCAGAAAAAACAAGCGCGCGCGGAAAAATAGTCTTTGCATTTGCTCACGTCAGCAGCGTACACCCATGGGCAACGCTAAATTGACCAATCAGAGCGCGCGCTTTACTTTGGTTATGTTATAATATCCATTAGGGGGTACAATGTAAAGACTTTTCCCTGGTAACTGGGATTTCCACTCTTAAGCCTGAATGCAATTGCTATACAACCATATTTCATCTTTGACATTCTTTAACAGCCATCATGGTTTAAGTCGTGCGTTGTTTCGCGCCTGTCCACAACCACTTCACACCCTGACATCAGTATGCATTTTCCTTATACTTCTTCATACATTTCATAAGCCGCTGAAAAGGAGAATTTGTTCAACAGTCAAGAGCTTCTCTAGTTGGAAATCATTTCCTTTATTTTCGTAACCAAAGTTGTGACTTGTAAGGAGAAGTAGGATGCTAGTCACTCTCCGGAGTTTAAGGTTTAAAACCGTACAATGTAGACCGTTTAGTTAGTAAAAAAAGACTTGTAAATCAAAGGCAGCAAAATTTCAGCAACCACTGACCTCTCAAGGAACGACACCAGCAAAGTATGTACTGTACAAAAGGGGAAGAGGGTTGGTTAAGGGTGGGGCAGTCTCTTTCAAAAACAGGGGTGCTAAAGTCTCTATGGGGTGAGTGCGAGTATCATAATCTTTTCACAACAGAACCCAGGTATTAATCAAAAACAAGCCATTACATGGGTCCGCAGTTCTAAAAAAGACATTTTGGCAATATTTATCTACCTTTAAGTATTTGCAGGCCTTTGCAAATATAATTCAACAAACAAATTGATCTTCACAATTTAAGTCATGGCAGAAAAAATTAGTTTGAAGAAAATTAGGCTTTCACAGGGATCCAACCATTACCTCCCCTCCAATATACCACCAGGATGCTACTACTAACGAGAGAGCTACAAAAGCATATGTTGAGAATGAGGCAAATCTGTGTGGATTGCTTGTTGCCCATAAGAGAATCTAGAAGCAGTTTGGCCAGGTAGTAAGGGTGCTAAGTTCGTAATCTAGTGGTCCTGGGCCCAAGCTCAAGCCCTCCTACTCACTGGATTTGTTCTTGGTTGTCCCAAGTTCAATTGATTTGCTGTGCTTTGTTAATAACCAACTGGTCTGCCCCTTCCATTTGGAATTTTTAAGAACTATGTGTAGTTACATTGTTTGTTTCAAATATATTTGTATTGGCCCTGAAAAGCCCTATTGGGGGAAGTTGTCAATTAAGTTAACATACCGGTATATACAAACATACATGCATCTGATATTTATGTTCTTCAATAGTCTTATTGTCAGTTTGTCAGCTTGTTTCAGAATTGGATTTGTTGAGGATTATTAGCCATTACATTATTGATCTCTTTGCAATTCAATTTTTTTTATTATTTTTAGCAGATCATCAAAAGAATGGTTGGCTAGCCTCTTTTTCTAAGATGTGAATGATAATCTTTGAGGGAAAACATTTGTTACTGAGAACTTCAGATTTAGCTCTCAGATCAAAAATAATTTACTGAACAAATTCAATATTTTGCAGGAGAATTCTGCTTAGAGTAACAAGATTTGCTGAGACTAAACATCAAATCACTGGTGAAGGTCAAGGATGTAAAGGAGGCATGTCTTCATCAGCTGCTTTTACTGCCCTCTGCCTGATTACCACTCGACATACCAGTATTTGTAGACTCTAAAACAGCAAGCAAAGTACATAAAAATTAGTGCATTTGATTACAACAATGACAAGACTATGAAACGTCCAACTTCATCCTTAATGATATGGCACTTTTTGAAAAAGTGTCTTAGAACCCAACCCCAAAGCAATCACAACAGCTACAGAGAATGAAGAAAACTATCTCACAAAGCCAATGAAAACCTAAAGAAAAAAAATTTAGAAAGAGTGCTTTCTACATGTAGTTGTGCAGTTATTGTTTTACCACTAGCATCCTTGTGTATTGTAGTGTCACGATTTTCACAACAATGAAATAAAACACAAATGACACCTGTTTTCTTCCATGTTGCTTCTCCTTTCCAGGTCGTATTCAGTAAAATTAGTTGCCTAAAAGTGCATGGAATTCTTGAAAATTCAACATGCAAAAGGATTGATCTATCAGTTTGAAAATTCATTTTACCTATTGTGCTTAAATAAAGGGAGAACACAGTGTGTGACCTTGCTGTTAAGTCATAAACATATTCACTGAGACACACCCCTTAACCTATTGATGTCCAGTGCGCCCATAAGCGCCTATGTGGAACCACACCCTTTCTACGCCTTTTGACGTCATCACTTTTAACCCTGGAGCACAACTTTGAGCATGTACTTAAACAGGTTGAAAAAATCTTACAAACGATACCAGAATGAGCGCAATTGAGTGAAGGACACTGGAAAAATAGCCAAAAAACCATGTAACTTTGACCTGAAAATCTGCACAAAAATCTTGTTCCATTACCCACCTACCTTTCTGAGCATGTGGTTTGAAAATAATGAGTAGTTTCCTAAAAAATCTCTACACCAAAATGAAGCCTACTAAATTTCCAGCAAGTGAGGAGAAAATTCAGGCAAGGAAAGGGAAAAAAAAGGCAGGAGAAAGAGAGAAAAGTAAAAGTCGTAAGTGGGGCATTACTTTTCAACACAAAAACTATCTCGAAATTATGCTTTCTGCACCTGACCAAGATTTTCAGGCCGCCATTTTGCATTTTGAACAAAAGACCACTGAGTGTACAAGCTGTGAATGGGTTTGTCGAAAGTTTCAGCTTTTAGAACCGCAACAGTGACCCGAAATCTGCTTGACTAGCTTCAAAACACAGTTTTTCACAAATGCTGCGGCTATTAATGCGTTAATAGAGTGTATTTTGACTAAATGTTCTCAAAGCAAAACCAAAGTAATTGCACCAGTGCTGATCAAATGGAGAAAAAAAATATTACCAGCCACTAATAAAAAAAACACATCTAAAAAAAAAAACAAGCAAACTTCCTGATGCAGAGGAATTGCACGTGATCCAAATGAGCAATTGTTTTGAATCTGATGGGTTGAGAAAGAAGCTCAGAATTTCTGGATGAATCACAAGGTGAAGTAAAGCAGAGCCAAAGTGATCCATGATTACTTCCAGCACCAAATAGAAGAGTCAGGTTAACCTTTTACACTCTAACATCAGTATGCATATTCGCTATAATGTTCTCTATACATTTCTTAAGGTTCTGACAAGGAGAATTTGTTTAACAATCATGAGCTTCTTTAAGTGATGATAATTTCCTTTATTCTCGTTACCTTAATGTGTGATTCAGGGAGGATATTGTCAGGAGAAATGAGATGCTGATCACTCTTGGGGATTTAAGGGTCAAGGGATAGGATTTGTGGGAAATGGGAGTCCCCCCTTCTACTATACCGTAAGTTACACTTGCCAACAAAGAAAATCTCCCTCTTCAAGAGAATTTCTTAGACATGGCCCCTGAAAGCATGCATAAATGAGTGCAAGACACAACAAATAGGAATATCTTTGGAAACTTCTGTTCAGAGGAGAGAATGCTAATTGGAGCACCTACAAAGGAATTTTGCCTACACCCCTGTTACTATAGTACCTCTTTCTAAAACCTTCAGTCGCTCAAGCCTGTCAGTCAACAGAGGGTATACGAGAGACTCAACGTCATTCCCTTCCTCTGTAAAACAACTCTGTCCTTTCCTCCCCATCAGTCTGCGTCGGATGCGGTTCAATTCTAACTTTTTAGTGAACATGTCTATGCCACCTTGTAGCATTCTGGGCTCGCACTTTGCAGCCGTGAGGTCCGCTTGGTGAACTACATCATGATAGAGTTTCATGTGCACTTGTTTATAACAAAGATAGCTCAGGCGACAGAGAACAAGCTTAAAGAGTATATCCAGCACTGTGTGAAGTTGCAACATCCTTGGGCCAACGTAGGCAAGCTTATATGTCAAGTACAACCAAGTTGGTGCAAGAACGGCATTGATAGCTTTGTAGTCTAAACGCTGCATTTGGGCAACCTCGTGCGCGATGCAAAAAGCTATCATGTCATCACTGGGTAGCAAGCATTCTTTGATCTTTACACCCAGTTCAGAATCCCATCTGATGTCCCTTCCTTGAAAAGTAATTCCACAAGTTTCTATGTCTTTGTAATTCTCAAAAATGTACCATTTTGGCATGCTTACAACAGCTCCGTTTGGAAAGGAGGTTGAACCCACCGACATCGGATGTACACCCTGATTTATGAACAAGCTTATCTTGTCGGCAGACGTGTAGCCAAACTTATTCAACACTACATCGAACTGTGTTCTTATACGCGCGGGGACTTCCAAAAGGCTGCCATCTTCGTCCTTCAGACCAACGATGGGTTTGCACACCTGATTTGGGAAAGCCTCGGCCGCGTTTTTGTAAATAAAAAGTCCACCGATACCAAATCCTACGGATATGACAATGAATCGGTTCGCAACCTTACCAACAAGTTCAATTACATGTCCAAAACTCGCCATGCTTGCTGATATTAGTAAAATAGTTCTGCACGTGTAGATAACCCAATATGGCGACTACCCCATGACACTCGCTCCAGTCTCTTTCGCGACGAGAGCTTGTAACTAGGGTGGGGTGGGTAAATAAACTACACATAAATTCCTTGTACGATTAAATCTGCATTAAGCGGCAATATATTGAGCGGTCACTCTGTATTAATTAAGCGGGCGGTTTTCAAAGTCCCAAACTCAATGTTTCTAGTATTTTTGAGTGAGTGTACATCAAGTGATCAGTTATAAAATAAAATGGTGTTTTTTTTATCATTTTTTACTTTACCACTATTCTTTGGAACATGTATTAAGCTATCAACCTGCAAGTGAGTGACCAGCATCTAATTTCTCCTTGCACTACCAACCCTTAAATCAAACAGTAAGGTCAGGAGAGTAAAGGAAACGATAAATTTAAAGAGCTAGTGATTTTCCACAAATTCTCCTTGTCAGCACCTCAAGAAATGTATAGAGAACAGTGTGGAGAATATCCACACTGACCTTAGGGTGTAAAGGGTTAGGTGCTGCAAGCTGTGTCCATGATTTTGCTTTGTATTTTTCATGATTTTTACCCACTTTAATGTCCTTCGTTGCCTAAAGGAAAGTAAAGAAAACAGACTTCTGTCTGCAATAAAAATGGTTCTTGAAGACCACCCTTCAGTATTGACACCATGCTTAAATAAAAAATCTTATAAGATTAGGCTTAACTTTTGTTTAAAACATTCTTCGCCTGAAATTTACCTAAAATGGAGTAATGCTTACTTCCTCACCAAACCACCTCCCTCCACGCACTCAGTGTTAAGCATACACAAACCCTACCCTCGGGAGCCATATTATTTCCTGACAATACCCCGGCCACCCATCCCCTTTTTCATAGATTATAATGACATTTTCAATATCAAGAGAAACATGGGTCAAATTACACAATAAACTCTTTTCTTTACAATTATTACTAAGCGCTGCACTTTCCTTCATGTTTTTTTAATAATGATAGTGGGTCAAGTCAATTGTCTAGCCTGTGTAGCTGACTCTAATTATAGAGGTCACTCAAAGTTCATTCCTACTCATTTTTCTCTCAGCCTTCATCACTCTGCTTTCACTTAGAGGAGTCACTCCAGCTACACATGGCAAAAAAGTTCAGAGTTCATCCAAATGCAGGGAGGGGGGTTGCAACTGGTGCATACAAATCCCCCTGCATGCTACAAGTCTATTTACTAGATACCTGTGATTCAAAAGAAAGTGAGAAACATTCAGTGAGGCTTGAGCTTGGCACATTACTTGAAGATTAAACCCAAAATTCATTATTGACCTAAAAATTTTTATTCTATCTAACAGCCTTCAAAATGTACAAAATGCAGTCTCAGACAACCCAATATTTTAAAAGTTCCCTGGGGAACATACCCCTGGACCCCCCTAGAATCTTGTGCCCCTGGCAATCATCAATTCGTGCCTTCAGCCCTCAAACACACCTGCTGTCTACAACCCGGAAATGTCACTTGACAAGTGCTAGTCTGGCGATGACTCTAAAATATATCTCACTCTGTCAAGCCTATCAGTGAAGGGTGGATGCATGGATATCAAAGAGCGCGCAATAAAATTCCCTTCTTTAGTGAAATTTTCCTCGCCTCTCTTTCCAAGTATTGCTCGCTGTATCAAGTTTCGTTTCAATGTCAGTGCAAAAAAATCAACGCCACCTCGTGCCATTCGAGGATCACATTTAGCAGATACTTCGTCTGCATCAAATTCAGCGAAGTGGCACACCTTTTCGTAAACGCGCGTGTAAGTAAATAAGCTTACTCCAAAGATGCCAAGGTAAAGAAGAGCTCGGAAATCAAATCGATGTTTTAGAATCTTCGACATCGAATTAGAAATTCTATACGTAACATACAGCCACGTTGGGGGTACAAACGTGTCATACAACTTTAAGTGAAAATGTTTCTCGGTATGAGTGAGTTCGTGGCCAATTGTGAACGCAATAATGTCGTCTGTTGGAAGAAATGTTTCAGACAATGCCTCACCAACTTCAGAATACCAACCAACAGTTTTTCCGAATTTGAGGCCGGAGTTGTAAATATCTTCTTTATTCTGAAACACATACCACCTTGGTAAACCTATCACAGCTCCACCGGGAAGTATAGATGATCCAAGTGAAATAGCATGGAAACCTCGATGGATAAACAAGTTAACTTTGTCCACATTTGTGACACCATACCTTTCCGCGACCTTGTGCAGTTGTTCAAGACAGCGATCGGGTACTGTGACAAACGCACCCTTATTATCTTTTAGGCCATAGAATCGCTTGTAAATATGCGGAAACAACTCAGCTGAGCCCTTGACAATGATCAATCCTCCAATCCCCACACCAACAAGAGATGTCAATATCTTATCCGTCTTAAGCGTACTAGCCGCCATCTTGAATAGTTACAATCAGGAGATCTGGAAACTAGTTTAAAAATTCAGCCCCAGGCCCGTTTGCGAGCATACTCCAGCAGGAACTCAGGAATGTTCCAAAATGGTTCACTGAGGAAATTTTTGCAAAATGATTTCGTAAGTGGTCAGAAATTTTTAACATGAACTGAATTATAAAGAAGAACATATACAAAGCATGCCAAAAAGATATCTATCCATTTACCTAACATGAATATTTCCAACACCTTTTGCAAAAAATTTGTGTAAATATATGTACTTTATAACCTTTTGACATATCATAGCAATTACTAAAAATTCGTTTACCTACTAGATAATATTGGGGAGAGCTCTCCCATAATTGAGCAACATAAAAAGCTTGGATAGCAATTACTAAAAATTTGTTTAGTTACTAACACTGAGAAGAGCTGACTCATAAATGAGGTATGTAAAAAAGCCTGGATAGCAATTATTAAAAATTTTAGTTACTAGCTAACACTGAGAAGAGCTGACCCATAAATGAGCTATGTAAAAAAGCCTGGATAGCAATTACTAAAAATTTGTTTGGTCACTAGTTAATACTGAGGAAGAGCTTATCCATAAATAAGCGATATAAAAAAGCCAGGATCAATGCCTGAATCAAAGTCAGGGCAATGAGCACAGGTCTACCCTTTTCCTATCCTAACAACAGTCAACTCACAATGAATAATAATAATAATAATAATATAATCAATTTCTATAGTGCATTTCCATGGAATGTTCTAATGCGCTTTACAACACTGTGCGGGGGACTTTTCCAGACTGCCGGCGGCAGTTTACAATAAACAAAAAAGAAATTTTACAGATGCCCCTTCCCCCCCATTCCCAGTAACCAGGCCAGACCACATCGCAGTAATCTCGTGATGTGGGTTCTTTAACCTCCCCTGCCGAAATAAACTAATTGGCGGATTGATGCAGGAGACGGGACCTCCGGCTTTACGTCCTATCTGAGAAGACGAAGCAATGTGAGTGAAGTGTCTTGCTTAAGGACACAATGTGAAGCCCCGGCCAGGACTTGAACCCAGGCCATCTGACCCAGAGTCCAGCGCACTGACCACTGGACTACTCACGCTTCAACGGCTAATCGCTGGCCAAGGGAGGGGTGAGTGTGCAGTTGCTCAGAGACTAACAGAACCTGATCCAAAAGCCTTGAGCACATTCATATGAAATAAATAAAATAAACAATATCAATAAATTCCACACAAAGAATGTTGGTTACATGGAAATTTACACATGTTAGGAGTGCCCAATCAATGTGTAACACCTCTTGAGAAGTAGTGAATATAAATAAGTAGTGTTCATTACTGCTAATATCACTTTGATATTCATTTCTCAATCCACAGTTCACATGTATGATATTCAGAAATTCACAGCCAGAATATACAAAATAATTCAAATGACAACCTTGCCATGCAGTCGCATTTTGCCTGAAAATTTTAATTTTGGGTAACCTAACCTAACCAGCTCAGTTCAATGATTTCAAGAGATACAAACTCCTCATTTCACCTCAGGCTGCAACAGCTCAAGTTTAAGTCAAACATGGGAAACTATTAGCCCTTTCACTCCTAAGATCTCATTAGTAATTCTCCATACTATCTGCCATACAATTCTTATGATGTTCGTTGGGAGAATTTGGTATTGGATCAACAGATAACCCCCTGATTTCTTTTTTCCTAATTCGTATTACTTGTCTGCTTTATATTGTATTGATATTGTAAGGAGAAATTCTGTCTTGGTCACTCTTTGGAGTTAAAAGGTTGAAGGATTATAAGGTTTTCAATTTGCAGGTGTACGAAAATGCAGGTATAAAATTGATAAATATTGACAAGGTGAAATCAGTAGTAGAGAATCATGCCGCTTTGGTGAATTGCAAATAGCAGATGCTTTGAACGTTAAGCATTAATCAGATCACAGCTTTCCAATAATTTTATTTCATGCAGTGGTAAATTAAATTAAATCAATAATAAAAATGTAATTCTCAAGTTCCATGATCCAATTGCTGTTGATAGCATTTTACAAAAACTGATTCACAAAATTTACAAATATTCAAACTTTATACGAAACCCACTATTAACAAAAAAACGACACATTTTTTTAACCCTCTATTTCCCAGAGGTGATTAACACGTAACTTCTCCCTATAATATCCATACATTATCCAGTAAACTGGTAATGAGAATAACCAAATTTTTCTTGATCTAACACCAAATTCTCCTATGTAATTTACCAAGAAATGGGAAGCAGGAAGAGGGGTGAGTTAACAACCTGACCGAAAGAGGGGTGAGTTAACAACCTGACCGGAAGAGGGGTGAGTTAACAACCTGACCGGAAGAGGGGTGAGTTAACAACCTGACCGGAAGAGGGGTGAGTTAACAACCTGACCTTTAGCCTGGGGGTCACGGGTTTAACTTGAACTTTTGATCTTTTCATCAACAATTACTTCCAGTCTCCTCAATCGATCTAGCAACTTTGGGTGAGTAGAGTCTACAATGTTGAAATGCATTTCTTTCGATTTGTCTCCTGCCTGAAGAGATTTCATAAGTGACACAAATCTCTTTTTCTTCAACATCCAATCAACTCCACCTTTAGCCACTTCAAGATCACACCTAGCAGACATTTCATCAGCCTTGAACTCTCTGTAATGATTAAGACGACGCTCTACTGGCCAAAAGCAAGCAAAGCTAAGCAAATAAAAAGCGATTTTGAAAATGCCGTCCACGAGAACCGAGGTTCTGGGTACAATTACTCGTGTCCTTCTTGATATTGCGTACGTTGCAATCAGCCATGATGGGGCGAAGAAAACGTCATATGCGATATCAAAAGAACCGCTACGGTGAACCAGCTCATGACCAATACAGAATGCTATATTCTCGTCTGACGAAAGCTGTGTATCGATAAATTTTTTGCCAAACCTGCTCTGCAACAACATAGGAACCTTGCTGTCTTGGAAACAGACTTCACCAAACCTTCCGAGATCGTCTTCGTGTTTAAAATAGAATGACAAAGGAACTCCAATTACTGCGCCATTGGGAAGCCACGTTGCACCGGCAGAACTGGGGTAAAGAGACCTGCACACGAAGAAGGAGATTTTACCTTGTTTATCACTCACCCCAAGTTTACGAGAAATTACTGCAAGTTGTTCTTTACAACGAGGGGGGATCTCCATTTCTCTTCCATCGATTTTGAGTTCCTTTATTCTTTTATAGTAGAGTTGTGGAAAAATATGCGGTATAGCCTTTAAACACACCAAAGCTCCAGCTGTGACACCTACCACCACACGTAACCACATTCTGCGCAGTTTCAAGGAAGAGACAGCAGTTTATCAAGAGGCAATATGGCGGAGTTTACGCGCGGGGAAATGGGAGCAAGAGTAGAGCCCAATCCACTTGGAGTGTTGCCAGAGGATAATTGATGAACGTGCAGGTGTAAGTAATTTGCCTCGTCCCATTCTCTGCTTTTCAAGATGTGTTGATTCTAATAGCGGAAATAGGCCATTTTAATAGAAAGAGATGTCAAGTCTTTTGAGCAGCGTAAATGCTTTTCCTTAAGCGCATTTAGAACGACTACACACTGTCTTTTTTTAGACCCAGTTTAGAAAATAATAAAAAATTCTGCTCTCCCAATAGTTATCTGAAATGCCATCACTTCTATTGCATGTTCAGTTACATCTCACAAGGTGTGTAGGTAACAGGGAGTCAGTGCAATTTTCTGCACAGTTTCATACTGGGCCATTGTCTCCATCTTTGAAGCCACTTGCACACAAAATAATGACATATCAGCCAGGTTTTAAAGTATATGTAATGGCACCATTTTCGTGGAAAAAATCTTTGCAGACGAGGGTGTTATATGATTTGGGATGTTGCAATGATCACCTTGGCCATCATGGAACAAAAAAAAAGGATTGCAAACAACGCGCAAGCTAATTGCCCTCTGAGAGAGACCTGGTAATTGGTTAGTCAATCCAGAATCCCAGCGTTCCTTCGGTCAGCATTAGATTCCATCCACCAAAACCACCTCAGTCGAGAGGGACTGAGATGGAATGATGGACACCTCCTGACGTATTATACTTAACAATTATTCCACGAGCGCGCGTTGGATATGAGATGATAGATAGCCAACGAGGCGCTACGCGCCTCGTTGGCTATAATCATCTCATATCCAACAAACGCGAGTGGAATAATTGTTTTATTAAAACGCTACATNAGAAATAAAAAACTCGAACTGTGAAAATGCTCGCTATTTCAAGTGGGAACGCCCTAGTAATACACACCTATACGTTATTTACTCCTTTGCCATTTTTTTTGTACTGTGAGAATGTTTGAAATTGTACTTTAACAACAACAAAGAAAACGAAATCATGGCAAAAAATGTACAGGCACTTTTATGTCACACTTTGACCGGCTTGCCCGCCGCGTACTTTTTTTCATTGGCCGTTGCATTAATTCGTGTTGAACACTAAGTTACCTCGCCAACAAAGTGATTCTGATGGTCTGTAATGAGAGTTAGTTCAATGTAAATCCTTCTTTCGTACTTAGTGATCCCTTGTAAAGCTTTTCGCTAATTTCCAGACGCAGTCTTCCATCTCTTTTTGCTGTCTTCTTGATCTGAAAGACGAAAAATCATACATTTGAAGGGAAAAAATGGATGCCTAGTAACAGTAAACTGAATGCCTCTGATGCAGTGCACAAATAAGCTTTTCCCGCTGCTTCAACTCAACTTTTCTGTCAAGTTTTAAAATTGATTCACGGCGTTTATGTGGTTGAAAAGACAACTTGGTGCTGGCAGTGTGTTAGCTTTGTTTGACCACACTAACGTCCCAGACACAGAGAAAAAACATCAGGAAACTCGAAGTGTCTTGAATAATCAAAAACGAGACCACCTTTCGTTCCAGTCAATAAGCCGGTGACTATGCAGCATGAATTTCGGACGGTGAACGCTTATCGGATTTATTAAGCCGAATTCGTTCTGTCAATACATGAGTGGAACTACCTTGTGCTCTGCAAAAAATAAAATTTCTCGCATTTTTATCTGTACTTTGTAATCAAACTTCCGCTTGTCTTGAACGAGAAATGTTCTTTTCTTGAACACGAAATCTTTGTGACCAGCCTTCTGTAAAAGATTAGTATATCAGCGTAAGATGAGTGATATTGCATTTCTCAAGCTATATATTTTTTGGAATGTGAAGAAACAGAAGTGTCATTGCGCAATGCCTTGAAAGATAAGGAGCCGACATACGACAGCTTGATAGAAATAAAAAAGCGTAGAACTGCGTTTATTTTCTCTTTTGTCAGCAGCAAACGACAGTGAAAGGTTTTTATAATTGATAAGTTCTAAACCATCTTCAATTTAGCCGAGATTGAAGTGTTATCGCGTTTGTCATAAAAGTATTCTGAGATCAATGTCATGACCCGGTGATCGATGTGTATCTGACCTTTCGGGTTCACAAGCCATAGGTGACAGTAGTAACACCAATGTCGCGGATGAGAAAAATATGTGTATGTACAGTGCAATATTTCATTTACTTCTCCTGCGTCTTTTCGTTTCCTTTTCTCTCCAGCTTTTCTATCTTTGCCGTGCTGACAATCGCACACTTTCCTTCCCAAAATTATGAAAGGCACACCATTAAAAGGAATTTTTTGCACCTTTAATGTCTCGTGGATCTTCGCAGAGTATTTTGTGACCGCTGTTCGAGTGATTTTTTGTTAAATTGTGATGGAAGATAGGATCAGTAGAGCAAGGACGAGAGTGATACAAGCTAGCACGACGTAAAGCTTTCAAAAATATATGGGCATACCAGTGTTTCCGAAACCTTTGTCAGCCTTAAAGCAATAAAACTTCGTCGTCGATCCTGTTTCGAATTCCGCAATGAGTTTATACGCCTCATCAACAGAATTTACGTATCCAAAATTATCCGCATCTCTACCATCAGGCAAATTTTTCACGCTTTAAAATTACCGCCAAACTGTTTCTGTTTGTTCTTCGGGTGTTCGGCTTTGTCTCCGCGCGGATTTCCGAGAATCTTCGGTTGTGATTTGAAAGTTGTTTATTATTCCACGTCAGTCCCTCTCGACCGCGGCGTTCTTTCAGACTCCATACCTAAACATGGCGCAGTTTCCTTATAAAGCTGGTCCTTATAGCATGCCAACCGGTCCGCCAATGGGTCCGCCAACGATGCAAAAAAACTTCCCAACGAAGCATCACGCAATTTTTGAAGTTGTGGCACCAACTTCAGTGGAAAGAATTTATACAGACGAGGCAACAGGAGCGCACCAAAACATAAGTGTTTGGAGGGCTAGTGTCGATGTCATTCCTGAGGGTGTTTACATGATCGGCGACGTTGCATTTGCGGCGCATTCGTCAACTTTTCCTCAGACTGCTGTGGTTCTTGTGAAGCCCTTGATCAAGTATGACCAGATTGGTGAAATTATCAAACCGCCATCTTCCTACGAGGACATTTGGGACGACAAGGGCTCCGGGGGTCGTCATAAAGGCTCCTTTTGGCGAGTACATGCTCCTCCAGGTTTTGTGGCCCTTGGCGATGTGGCTTGCAATAACTGGTCTCAGCCATCTGCAGAATTTACTGCAAAATATGCCTGCATCCGAAAAGATTTGCTTTCTGCCGATGCTGAGCTGTCTTCCTCCGCTTTGTGGACCGACAAGGGCTCCGGAGCAAAACGAAATGTTTCAGTCTGGTCCGTGCGAGGCTACTTCCAGCCGACTGGATATTTTAAAGCCCACAGTGCTCACGCAAAACCAAATTTAGAAGTCTTTACTTTACCAGTCGCCAAGATATATGGTAAGGAGCACTCCAATGATCTGAATATCTTCTAACTGTTATATCGATGGAAGAAGTGCAATAAGAGACTTCATCAAGTGATTAAAGTTGTGATTTTCTGCAATCGCTTTTTTAAAAGAAATTATAGAAGTTGTTTTATTGTATAGAGGACCATGATTTGCACTGGCTAGGACAAACAGGGGACTTGGATTTCTGCTCAGGAACGCATATTTAGTTGGACTTTGCACTTTGTTAACTACTCATGCATGTAAACAAAAAATAATTAACGACACGTTATTCAATGTCCACTTTGGATATACATTTCTTAGAATTTTCTCAATTTCACAGTGAAAAGTTTCATAGCATTATAGAGTATTCAACTAGTGCATCACTGTATCCCAAACAAAGTAATTTTCATGTTTAATTTGAAGCTGATCGCTCGTCACTATTAAACTGCATGAAACATTAATCATTACGACCTGGGCTAGGTAATAAAAGTTGAAACCTTTTGGTACGTGTAACATCAATGAACCAAACTCCTATCTTTCTACGAATACAACCAGAGCGTCATCACTGATTTCTTTTAAGGGTCGATTATGAGCCTTAACCGAGAGCTAGCCGGCCGAAAGGAATGCTGTTTATATTTTGCAGAGTGCAACCTTCATTAAAATTCAACCCTCGTGTTTTCCTCGAGACACAAACATCTTAGATTAGTCACTTCCGGTATTTCTCGAAATTCTCACTCATTTCCGGTATTTCTCGGAATTCTCACTCATTTCCTCTCCTTTTTGTGTTTTTTTTTTTTTTGGTTTTACCGGCTGATAAGCCTTTAATTCGGTCGAGTCGGATTATGTCCGTTTTGTTAACTGTGAGAGGAACTACACCAAGGGAATTTAATTTTTTATAGTGCGAAAAGCAAACGTAGTTGACTTAATCCACTATTCTGAAACTTTACACTCTTTATGATGGCAAGAGGTGCACATTTCCATACTGTGTGCCGCAAGACCGTAGCTCAAGTAATAACAAGGAGAGTGTCTTAGATAAGCGGCAAATGGACGCGCCATCGCCTATTGGAGTGAATTCGTACAAATCGTTTCTTATGTGCTAATGACGCATAATATTTTTAAGGACCTGTTTGAAAACGCACCACTGATTCATGTATACATTCGTCGATCTTAATTATTCATCATCCCTCCACCTCGATGTGATTTTCTTTGGTTTATTCCCCAAGCCTCGGAGCCAAGTTTGAATTCTGATGTATCGACAGTGGCCTATTCGAAGCTTCGACATCCTACCCCTGGGAACTCAAATTGTGGTTCAAATTGCCCTACCTAAGTGCCGGATTTGACAATCAACTTTTCCTGTAAAACATCAGAGACTCTGACTTTTTATTCGTTGACCAAGCTTCAAAACCTGGACCTTGCGTTACTTTGTGTTTCTTTAAAAGTAACGTTTTCAGAGTCATTTTCAGCATCTAAGTCTCAAATGCCGTTTCCACCAGTTTCCTGTAGGTAATTTTTTAGCCAAGGGCGTGGCACCCAATATGTCAGGTTTCTAATGTTTTACTGACAAACATGGCCGAATCAGAAAGAAGTATAACCTGTCGGTGGCAGGGTGGTGGCGCCGTTGCGTTGGTGGGTGACGAGGGTTGAAGGGCTCTTAATTAAACGCTTGAATTATCAAATGGAGCATAATGCAAAATCAAGAGCATAATTTGGGGGATAATGTCTTAATCCTGGCAGGTCCACACCAGCCTTTGGGTTGCCACAAACCGACCTGCCTTAACAAAAATTATATGTATGTATGTATGTATGTAATTTTGTTCCTGGGGTGACGCTCAAAAGCATTATGCTCAAATTTTCAGGCATAATATCTTTGAGTTTTACTTTCACGCTGGTATGCAACCCCACTGAAAAAAAAAAAAAGAAAAAAAGAGCTTCTTTAAAGGTTTTTTTATTGTTGAATAAACGGTTCCCAACTGTTTTTTTCTTTTTTTTTTTCTTTTTTTTGGCATCAGAGTTTAATGATAAACTCGCTAGCGTAATTACGAACGGGTTAAACGAATATTGAAGTAACTGGG